TCATATTTGTTTAGGTCTATTTTTGGACGGTTTGTTCTGTTACTGTAGGTTTCAGTCTTTTTGCAGATACCATACTTTTCTGATTATTAAATATTATAGCAAATCTTAAAATTGGATCACGTAAGTTCTACAACTTTATTTTTCTTTCTAGAAATAGTTTTAGCTATCCTACTTCTTTTGTAGTTTCATGTCAATTTTAGAATCAATTTGTTGGTATCTACAACAAATTCTGCTGAGATTTTGATTGGGATTGCATTTAAGCTATGATCAGTAGGGGGAAAAGCACCATCTTTACCATGTGGGGTCTTCTAGCCCATAGACACGGTGTGTCTCTCCGTTTATTTAGATCTTCTTATATTTCTTTTGTAAACATTTCATAGTTTTCAGTCTACAAGTTCTGTACATGTTTTGATAGATTGACACCTAAGTATTTATTTTTTTAAACAATTGCCAATGGTATTTTTTTAAATTTCCGTATTCATGTGTTCATTACTAGTATGTAGAAATACTATTTATTTTTGTATGTTTATCTTGTATCATGCCATCTTGCTGAACTCTTTTTGTTTTATAGGTTCCTTGGCATTTTCTTCAAAGACAGTCATAGCATCTGCACTTAGGGATATGTTTATTTGTTCCTTTCATATGTATACACTTTTCCTTTTCCTTTTATGTCTTACTGCTTCGACTTAAACTTTCAAAACTATGCTAAATGGTGGTGAGAACAGACATGCTTCCCCTGATCCCTGTTTTAGGGGGAAAGCAGTTAGTCTTTCAACATTAAGTATAATGTTAACTGTAGGGTTTTTGTGTAGATATTATTTATCAAGTGGAGGATGTTTCCTTCTAGTTCTCATTTTCTGAGAGTTGTTTTTGTTTTGTTTTGTTTTGTTTTGTTTTTTACCATGAATGGGTTTTGTATTTTGTCAGATTCTTTTCTACATTAATGATGTGACTGTGTGATTTTCTTTAGTCTGTTAGTATGGTGTAATACACTAACTGATAATCAAATGTTGAACCAGCCTTGTCCATATTTTACTGTCCATATTTCTACAAACATTCTGATCGTGACCACATAAGTAATCTCTAAGAAGTTCCGTACTGTCGCACGGTTCTTCTCTTCTGAGCCTTCACCAGGTCACCCTTAACTCTCCGTTCATGGCCATACAGGCTTTCCTAGCCTGCTTCTGCAAAGTCTTCCAGCCTCCGCCCAGTCCCCAGTCCCAAAGCCACACCCACATTCTCAGTAGTTGTTTTTGCAGTATCCCACTCTCTGGTACCAATTTTCTTGGCCTATTTTGTTTCTGCTATGACTGAATTCTGCAGAGTAGGTAATTTATAATGAAAAGAAATAGGCCAGGTGTTGTGGCTCACGCCTGTAATCCTAGCACTCTAGGAGGCCGAGGTGGGAGGATCGCTCAACATCAGGAGTTCAAAACCAGCCTGAGCAAGAGCAAGACCCCATCTCCACTAAACGTAGAAAGAAATGAATTGGCCAACTAAAAATATATAGAAAAAAATTAGCCGGGCATGGTGGTGCATGCCTGTAGTCTCAGCTACTCAGGAGGCTGAGGCAGGAGGATACCCTGAGCCCAGCAGTTGGAGGTTTCTGTGAGCTAGGCTGACGCAGTGGCCCTCTAGCCCAGGCAACAGAGTGAGACCCTGTCTCAAAAAGAAAAGAAAAGAAATATATTGGCTCACAGTTCTGGAGGCTGGAAAATCCAAGATTGAGGGGCTGGTGTCTGATCAGGGCCTTCTTGCTGTGTCATAACAAGGTGGAACACATCGCCTGGGCAAGGGAGACCAAGAGGAGGCTGAACTTATCCTTTTATAAGAAACCTGCTCTCATGATAATGAACCCACTGCCATAGCAATGGCATTGACATATTATAAGAGTGGTGCCCCATGACCCAAACATCTCCCATTAGGTTCGGCCTCCCAACACCATCACTGGGGATCAAGTTTCTAACACATGAGCTTTGGGGGACACATTGAAACCATAGCAGTGTTTTTTAGGTGGCTCTAGGTTTTACATAATATACACATAACTTATCACAGTCTATTGGTGTCATCATTTTACCAGTTTGAATGACATCTTTCCTCTCTCTTTATGTCCCTTTACCCTCTCCTGATTATAATGTAATTGTGTTGAATATTTCCTCTCTATATAGTTAGAACCACATCAGACAATGTTATAAATATGAATGTTGCTTTAATTGTCAAACATAATTTAGAAAACTTAATAGGAGAAAGATAGTCTGTTGTATTTACCCATAGTTTTGCTCACCATGTTCTTTTTCCCTCTTGATATTCCAGGTTTCCTTCTTTTATCATTATTGGGTTGTTTTTAGATAACTTCCTTCAGCAATACTTTAAAGAGGCCTGCTGATGACAAATTTTGTTAAATTTTTTTTATATCTGAGATTGTCTTGGTTTCCCCTTCATTCCTGAAGGATATTTTCATTGGATATAGGATTCTAGTTGACAGTTCCTGTCTTCCCACCCTTGAAAAATAATGTACCACTTTCTTATGGCCTCCAAGGATTTTGTGAGAAATCTGCTCTCATTCTAATTGCTTTTCCGCTTCGGTGAGGTAGCATGTCTTTCCCCCTGCCTGCAGGACTTGCCTTTAGTTTTCAGAAGTTTGATTGTGATGAGTCTTGGTGAAGATTTCTTTGTGTTTAGAGATCCTCTTTGGGATTTGGTCAGCTTTTTAAACATGTAGGTTAGTGTCTTTTGCCAAATTTGGGGAGCTTTTTTGCCATTATTTCTTTGAGTTTTTTATTTTATAGTTTTTAGCCTACCTTTTTTTTTCCTCTCTCCTTCTGGGACTCTGATGACGCAAATATTTGATCCTTTGTTATAGTCCCATAAGGCTCTGAGGCTTTTTTGTTTGCTGATTTGTTTGTTCTATTTTTGCTCTGTTGTTCAGGTGGGGACATTCCTATTATGCTTTCTTCCAGTTCACGGATTCTTTCCTCTGTCACCTTCATTCTGCTAGTGAACCCATACACTGAGGATTTTTTTTTTAATTTAAATTACTAGATTTTTCTGCTCTAAAATTTTTCTCATTTGTTTCTATTTTTTTTTCATTTATTTCAGGTATATTCATAGTTGTACATGGAAGCATTTTTATAATGAATGCTTTAAAGTCTTTGTCAGATAATTTTAATTTGCATCTATTGATTTTCTTTTTTCATTCGGTTTGAGTTTTCTCTGGTTCTTGGTGAGTAATTTTTGACTGAAATCTGGACATTGCATCTGGTATTATATTATGAGACTCGGGATCTCACTTGAGCTTCGTCTTTTAGGTGGCTTTTGTCTAATACTGTGCCAGGATGGGAAGGAGGAGTGCTGCTTTGTTTCTGCCAAGCAGGGGTAAAAGTACAGATTTCCCACTCGGCCCCATGGACCCTTCACAGAGGGAGGTGCTCCTTGTTCCTTGGGGTGGAAGTGGGAATTCTGGCTCCCCACGGGGCCTCCTCGGCTGCCTCCATGGCAGGGAGGGGTAGGAGTGCCTCGTGGTTGCTCCCCACTTGGTTCCATTGATCCTGTAGGAGGGAGTGACCTTGTTATTGATGGGCATTGGCCAAAGGCCTGACTGTCCATAGGCCTCTGTGATACCCCAGTGGTATCACAGTGGGGTGGGGGGATGCTTCATTGTCACCGGGTGGGGGTAGATGTCCAGGCTACCCATATGATTGCCACTCTCCGCAGCAGAAGAGAACAGGCTTTGTCACTGCCCTATACTCAGCTTTCTCTGGCACTCCCACGCTGGTGAGGGGAGGTGGCTGGGTTACAGCGTGGCATGGACAGAACCCAGGCTCCCTGCTCAGCTTTTGCTGGCATGGGTAGAGTAGGACAATAGTTTTTTATGCAGTGGTTGGCTGCAGTGAGCAATTGGTACCTAAAAACCTTCTATCTTGCCAGGCTACCCCTTTCTTGGTCCTATCTCTGCAGAGATCAGGCTTTTTGGGGGGATTGTTTTGTGTGTGCCTGTTAGCATTTTAGGTTGCTCACTTCTTAAGCTCCAAGTTTGGAAAACGTGAAGCAAAACATGCCCACCATTTCCTTCCTCAGGTCTGGAGGTTCCCAGCCAGCGTGTCTTCTCTCCCTTTCCAGAGTTGTCTTCTGCTTGTCGTATCTACATACTGCCCTGGGTGTTCAGTTGTATTAGTGAGAGGACTTAGTTTGTTCTTAAATATTTCCTACATATGGTACAATCTTTGCTAATTCCAGTAGTCGAAGTCCTTCAGGCTCTTTATGTACTGTTTCTTCTCTCTCTCTGTGTACTCTTAAATCTTGACGATTTGTTCTCATGTGAATTTGCAGGGGGGTTGTACGTGTGTGAGAGAGAAAGTGAGAATGAGAAAAGAAGAGAGAACATGCGTTAAATTAGGTGTACTTTGCTCCAGCGAGGGTTTGCGTTCTCCTGTGATGTGAGGCAGTGGGTGCCAACAGCTTGGTTGGGGCCACTTCGTTCAGCATCTGAGTTTTTTCCCTAAATGTGGAAATCTCAGGTTTAAGGTGCAGACTTTCGCAGGGACCTGACGCTTGGTTGCCAGACCTCCGTGGAGCCCTTTGCGTTAGTTGCCAGGACTCAATACTGTCTCCGTGTTTGCTGTTTATTGATCCCGTCTCAGATTTCTGCTGATCTAGCTTACTTGTTGGGGGTGGGGGGAGGGTGACGGGTGAGGAAACCTTAGTTTGTTACTTAAGATATATATTTGTAGGGGAGCAAAAGAAGTCTGTCTGTTGTTGTTAACCCAGGTTCCAGTCTTCAGCAGGAACACCTCCAGAGTACCTTCTCCGCCAGGGTTGCTGGTGTGCTGGTTTTTAAGTTTGTTGTAAATGCCAGTATCGTCTCTGTATTCTTTTGGTAGAAGTGTCTGCTACTGAAGTCTCTGTTTTTCTAGCATTGCCTTAAGTGAAGAGACTGGGGAGTGATTATGAGGCCGTGTTCTTAGTGTTCTTACTGATACGTTTCTCATTGTTCTCTGTAGGGCTGAAAAGACTGAAGTTCTGAGTGAAGACCTTCTTCAGGTAAGGTTGTCACTGACCCTGGGCTCATGGTCACCAAAATGTTCTCCATTTTATTTTATTTTATTTTATTTTATTTTATTTTTTTTTTTTTTATGGGTCTCCCTTTGTTTCCCCGGCGTCAGCCTGCCTGGCTCACAGCAACCTCAACTCCCGGGCTCCAGTGATCCTTCTGCCTCAGCCTCCCGGGTAGCTGGGACTACAGGCATGCGCCACCATGCCCGGCTAATTTTTATATATATATATCAGTTGGCCAATTAATTTCTTTCTATTTATAGTAGAGACGGGGTCTCGCTCTTGCTCAGGCTGGTTTTGAACTCCTGACCTTGAGCAATCCGCCCGCCTCGGCCTCCCAAGAGCTAGGATTACAGGCGTGAGCCACAGCGCCCGGCCCTGTTCTCCATTTTAAAACTAAGCCATCCCCAGTGCTGTTAAAACTGCTCCAGCTGCTGCCCATACCAGCTGTTTAGAGATACAATTATTTTGCCTTTTATGACAGTACTTTGCATGTCGAATACTGGTTTAGGTGAGATCTTTCTGGAGAGAGATAAAGGCATTTCGTCACACAGTTAGCAGGAGAGTCCCGGAGTGTGCAATCACTGTCGCTCCAGTTCTCCAGGGTCAGATGTTTTCTCCCAGGAGTCCTCGTCTCTGCGGAGACTGGAGCAGTGGTGGTCCAGACTGACAAGCCCGCTCTCCCTGACCTTGCCCTCCCAGTGACACCGCCGCCGTTCTGTCTGCAGGTGGAGAAGCGCCTGGAGCTGGTGAAGCAGGTGTCCCACAGCACGCACAAGAAGCTCACCGCATGTCTGCAGGGCCAGCAAGGGGCAGAGGCCGACAAGCGCTCCGTGAGTACCCTCCTCGCCCCAAGCAGCTTAAAACCTGCCTACTGAGGACAAGGGTCCCGCTCCTGGGGTGTGTCCGGAAGTCAACCTGGCAGCCCTGGCTGCCTGTTTCTATGGCGGGACCACCCTCCCACTGTGCTTGCTCTTTAGCCCCACCTGAAGCCTCGCCACCCTCCCCAGGCAGGGTTGGGGTGCCTCTCCCTGTCCTCCCCAGAGTGGCACACCCGGGAGGACAGCAGGGGCGTGCTCAAGATCCCACCTCTAGGGAAGCTGTATCCTTGAGGGATGTCTTACCCCTGATTCAGCTCATTCATAGATTCCCTTTGCCTCAATACCATCTTAGGATCTCATGGGAAAAAAAAATTAGACTATAGTTTTAGAGGTTATGAGTGACCTATGAAGGCCTTTGGGAAATTGTTTTTGCTATAATGAGTCCATAAAGAGAGCTTGCTAAATAAAGCTACTCTGATGTCTTTGTATACAACCCACATTAGTAACAACAGGCGTGGTGTAATGTGATTCCACTCAGCAGTCCTTGGTGTGAACAGTCTTTGCAGGCACCCTCCCCTCTCCGCTGCCACCCCTCTCGAACCACCAAAGATTGGAAGACATTCTTAGATATGGCTTTATTACAAGGGATATGCAATCTAGATTTTTTTCCCTCCTCCTTTGAGTTTATAATCTACCTGTTTGGTGTCTGTCAGATTTTTTTTTTCTGACCTGGAGTTATTGTTGACTCACACGTCCCCATGTGTTCCAGTCCTTTCTCCCTTCACCTGCTGTGGTGCAAAAACCTGTCCTTCTTCTCTTCCTGGCCCTGTTTTCTTCTTTCTTAATATTCCCAGCAGGAATCACTTGTGTGTGGTATAAATAAAACTTTCATAGCTCTGAAAAATATCTATAGAAATAATTCTGCACGTATCAAGAATTTCAGCAAGGGGAAACTGTACAGTCTAAAGGGAGAGTTTGCAAACTACTTTAGACATGAAACCCTTTTATCAAACCAACATCTAAATGGGGGGACTCCAGGAATGGCTTCGGAATGGGGGGACTAGAGCCTAGCCTGCCTTTGATCCATGTTCTTTCTTATGCTCCAAGAAGCACTGTTTTTAAAATAACTGGTCCTAAGTACACTGTGTGTTGGCATCAAGAGTAGTATTTGAATGTTACCACCAGAAGCTTTAAACCAGCCTTTGGTGTTTAGGTAGATTAGTACTAGCATTATTTTTCTGGAATAAGATGAAGTTGCCTAGATTTGTGGAGTTTTCCTTAGATTGAGGATCTTGCACATCATATCAGTAAGGAGACATTTGAGTCCCTGAGTGGTCCATGCAGTGTTCTGTGTTTTATTTGAGCACATATAAGTTGCTTTTTGTTATTACTCTTTTAACAAGCTCATTAGCCCTTTAGCCATTTAGTTATGGTTTCCAACACTTAAATTTTTATCACAAACCTTTAAAAGTTTGGCCCTGAAAGCTGTGGCCGGCTGCCAGGTGGGGATGGGAAGAAAAATGGGGTTTTGTTACCATTGTCTCCGTGGCCAGAGGAAGCATTATTGTCCTGTGGCCACTGAGTAAAACTGGATTCCTTATGTGGGATGGAGACAGTAAAGATGAGAGTTATAGTTCCATTTTGCCATCTTTAGTCTGGGACGATAGCTGTTAGTTCATAGGTTTTTAAGACTTAACGTGATGAAGATGTTTGGTTTGTCAAAGCCCTTGCATTTCCAACAAAAAAACTGCTAGCCTGTGAAAGTGTTTCTCTACCTCGTTCAACAAATGCTTAGAAAGCACCGAGTCTGCCACCCACGGCGGTGTATGTGCCAAGTGCTGAGAAAGCTGAGCAGGACCCTGTGTCCTGGGAGCTCATGCCCAGAGGGGAGCAGGCGCCGCAGCGTGCATGCACCCTGACCGTGTCTTCCAGCTAAGAAGAGCTTGCTAGGAAGTAAACAATGGGAGGTTCCCACGAGGAGCTGGCCATGAGGACAAGTCAAAGGAGGCAGCCCCAAAGGGGGGAAACATGGTCCTAGGACAGGAGGCAACATGTGCAGAGTTCCCAGAGGCAGGAGGGAGTTGGGCATTTTTGAAAAACACAGAGGTGGCCAGAGTGACTGGGCCATGGAGAGCGAGGAGGATGTCGCGTGAGATGGGACTGCAGGGGACTGGACCAGGCTTGAGGGCCGTGCCGAGGATTTGGACTTTATCCCTCACAGCAGAGAAAAGCCGAGGTTTTCAGAGGGAGTGACGTGATCAGACTTGTTGACGACTGTGTAAATAACGGGTTCATGGGGCCAGTGACACGGATGTGGGAAGGCCCCAGGTGAGGTGCAGTGGGGAGAAGGAAGAGGGACGGAGAGCAGCATACGTGGTGGGCCCCGAAGGCGGAGTGTTTAGGGCTTGGTGACGGAATGGATGTGTAGGAGGAGGGGAGAGGGGTTTTATGGTCTCTGCCCTGAGCGCTGAGCGCCTGTTAAATCCGTGGGAGTTGCCGAGATCACCTGGGGAGAAAATACAAGGTGAGAAGACAAACGGCCCTTGAATCAAAAACCCCAGAAACAGCAGCGTTTCAAGCTCTCCCAGGAGGAGGACCCAACGGAGAGAGCGGGGAAGTGGAGACTGGTACTGCGCCTCCACCGCCCGCTCCCACCTAGGTCGCAGGCGGCGTCCTCGGTCTCCCTTTCCATCCCCCACGTCCAGGCTGTCAGCGAGTCCTGCGGGCTCTTCCGCCGGAGCATGTCCCTTCTGCTTCAGCGTGTGCCGCCCTGGCCCAGGCCGCTGCCATCCCTTCCTGAGCAGGGCGGCTGCTATCACGTCTTCCACTCCGACCCCTCCCCGTCTCCTTCATGTTCTATTCTCTGCAGCCGCTGCAGTTAGAGTTTAAAATGGAAATCAGATGATGTCATTCCCCAGCCTAATCCCACCCAAGGATTCCCATTGTGGAATAAAATCGGGACTCCTCACCTGGGCCCCTGGACCCTAAGGATGTGTCTCTGAGCGGGGCTCTTTCTCCGTGCCCCTCGGCCGTGGTTCTCCTGCTCTGCTGGCCGAGCACCCGGCACCCCCAGCTCACAGCCCTCGGGGGCCTTTGTACTCACTCGGCCCTCCGCCCTCCGTGAGGAGCAGGTCTACCCTGCATTTCAGCCCAGCAACTTCTTAGGCCAGGCATGGTGGCTCATGCCTGTAATCCTAGCACTCTGGGAAGCTGAGGCGGGCAGATTGCTTGAGGTCAGGAGTTCGAAACCAACCCAGCAACTTCCTAGTCTTTTTTTTTTTTTTTCCTTGAGACAGAGTCTCGCTTTGTTGCCCAGGCTAGAGTGAGTGCCGTGGCGTCAGCCTGGCTCACAGCAACCTCAATCTCCTGGGCTCAAGCGATCCTACTGCCTCCTCAACCACCTCCCGAGTAGCTGGGACTACAGGCATGCGCCACCATGCCCGGCTAATTTTTTCTATATATATTAGTTGGCCAATTAATTTGTTTCTATTTATAGTAGAGACGGGGTTTCGCTCTTGCTCAGGCTGGTTTCAAACTCCTAAACTCGAGCTATCCGCTCGTATCAGCCTCCCGGAGTGCTAGGATTACAGGCGTGTGCCACCGCGCCCGGCCCAGCAACTTTTTATTCTGATGTCACCGTCTCAGTGAGGCTTTCCCTGACCTCCTAATGTGTTTGCCTTCTCCTCCCACCCCAATCCCACCACCCTATTTTATTTTCTTCCTAGCGCACATGATTATCTGAAATCGCTGTGATCATCCATTCCCATCACTGGTGTGGGAGCAGGGATCCCGTCCCTCCATCCGCTGTGGTCCCAGTGTCTAACGCAGGGCCTGCCCCAGCAGAGCCCTGATAAAAATAGACGTGTGTCATGAATGGATGGTCTGTGAGTATTTTAGGCACGGAACCTGCCTCACACGCCAGCATGCCAATGCGAACCCTTCCTGTGCTCTAACGGGCAATTTAGCACGGGGTTTCTGAGGTGAAGCTCTGGAACCTGGCTGCCCAAGGGTGCGAAGCCCAACTCTGTTGCTTTCTGATTTTTGCCTGACCTTAGTTTCTTCCTTCGGGAAATGATAAGAACGATAATGATTTTCTACCCAGTCGGGGGTTTGGGAATTCAGCAAGGTAATGATGCACGTACACGCCCAGCGCCGTGCTTAGCTTCATGTGGAAAAACACGCCCTGCTGCTGCTCATGCCGCCCCACTGTTAGGCCGCAGGAGCCGCTGAGAACCTTTGGACCCTGAGCAGCAAGCCTGGGCTGTGTCTACTGGGGTGTGAGCCACGGACGAGCCGGTTGCCTGGGCGTGGAATTGGAGGACAGTAGGCGACAGTTTTTAGAGATAAGGAATATGAGAGGGTGCGCGTGTGTTTGGGGAGCAGGGTGGATATTAGAATGAGACTTTTTTACCTCTGAGTCATCCTACAAACTGTGTGGCTTATGTCCAAGATAATTTTAGAGGGAACAGTCATCTCAGATATGTCAGATTGACTGCATTCAAACTCTGGGACAGTCTGTCTTTCCCTTAATTCTTAAGGTTCTATCTGAACTCCAGAGCCAGGACAGAGTTTATTTTAACAGCTTTTTTTTGACCCTGAAATCACAGGCCAGCATGAAGTTTGCTAAGGTCTTTTCACCCAAGCACTGCATTCACGGGGCTCATTGACTGGCTCTCTTGGTGGATCCTTGGCAGTGGGGACAAAGGCATTTCAGCAGCTTTTCTACATCTTTGGGCAGTTTAATCCTTCTAAGACCGGATGTCCTTATATATGAAGTGGGGGTGACGGAAGTGTGGGGGAAAGAGCAAATAATGTTAATACCTTAGTTATAGAGAGCCATTAGGTTACATGAGATGGCTACAATGCTAGGCATTTATTGAACCATCATTTCCCCCTCCATCTCAGAGAATTTCTTTAGAAATAGAAATCGTTTGTAGTCTGTTGTGAGTCACAGTCCATTAACTTCTTATCTAATGCATTTGATCACAATTTGCCCTGATCCCCTTTTCATCTGAAAGTATACTTCCTTTATCCACGTCTTCTCTCCTCTTGTCACTTGGTGACTTCCTTCTAATTTCCTGATTCTTAAAGCATTGACACAAATAAAAACTCATCATTCATTTCTACTGAGTTTTACCCCAAAGCCCCCTTCCCCCACCCTTGGAATCCAAGCCCTCGAATGCACCTCAGTATCTCTCCTAGAGTGGCAGTGCACCATCAGTAGAGGACATGAGTAAATGCATTTTGTCATCTTTATTCAGTGATCTATGTAGCCATTAAAACTAAAAGAAAGAAAGACAGCTCTACATGTAATGATGGGAAATGAGACGAAAGATAGATATACTTACCCGAAAAGAAAGGCAAGGCACAGAGTGTGCCTGGAACATGCTAACCTTGTGGGGGGGAACTAGTCTCTAACTATGGACATACATGCATATAAAATCGGATCTGAGGCCAGGTGCAATGGCTCACTCCTGTAATCTTAGCACTTTGGGAAGCCGAGGTGGAAGGCTCCCTTGAGGTCAGGAGTTCAAGACCAGCCTGGGAGACATAGTGAGACCCTGTCTCTAAAACTTTTTTTTAAAATGGATCTGCTTAGAATATTTATGGAAGGATACACAAAAATCTGGTCACTGTATGGTCTCTGGTGAAGGGAACTCAGTTGAAGGATAGGTAGGAGGGAGTCTTTTTGCTGGAAACCCTCTAGCACCTTTCAGTTTTATACCATATGCATATATTTCCTACTGAAAATTTAATTCATTCACTTGATATAGATAGATGGCAAAAAGGAGAAAGAAAACTGTTATGCTCCCTGTTAAAAACAAAAAAGCTATTGAAACAGAAATGCACTTCCTAGTTTTTGGTACTCTACCACTTAACACTATGCTCTTTGCTGCCTGAGAGCATCTCAAAACCATGGGTGAGGGTGCTGGGAGACCGAGATGAGGAGAGAATGATGCTCCTTCCCTGCCTCCTGGGCAGGGCACCTCCAGCCCTGTCACTTCAAACTCCATTTTCCAGTCTGAGTTTTGCAGGACAGACACTGGCTGTCCCCTCACCATCCTCCCTCTGAGACTCTGGGCAGCCTCATGGTCCTCCAGTGACCATTCTTGTCCTGTGAACTTGACCTTCCTTCCTTTGGTCACTCACCAGCACAGTTTTCTGCTCAATGCACCGACAGGACAAATCAGGCAAGTTCCTTTCCACGTTTGGGAAAACTCTGCTCACCTCTGGTAGGTGTGTTTCTCCAAAGGGGGTCAACTCCTGGGCAATTTGAAGTCCCTGTTATGATTGGCAGGATCCTCCTTTGCTTCTTTGTCAAATTTTGGGAGGATTCAGAAACGCTGAAGTCTTACCCTGCAGGACACTTATGGGACTGTGAATGTGCGTCACAAACCAAAGTGACCTTGTTATGTGGGCTGGCCAGCACCACGACCATGCTACCTGCTAGTCGGGGGAGTGTCTTCACGGATTGGTTATTGGGATATTTTAGGAACTTGTGCATTAAACCAGGTTTCTCAGCCTTGATGCTATTGACTTTTTGAGCCTAGCAATTCTTTGTTGTAAGACACTGGTGTACACTGTAAGATGCCAAATGTCCCCAGGAGGACAGAATGACCCTTGGTTAAGAACCAATACCTTAAGCTATGCCCTTTTTCTAAGGCTACAACCAGGATATCATGCCTGCTTTTGTGAAGAACACACTGTCTCCTCATACCCTCACACACACTTCTGCGACCACATGTGGGGGGATTGTCTCCTCATCCCAAGCAATTCTCCAACTCTCCAAACACCAACTGGGTGTTCTGCAATTTAATTCAGTTCTGGCATTGTCTACCTGGAGTTAGCACGAGATCCTATAGCTTAAGGTCTCTGTCCCACAAGGATACCCCCACTTCAGATGCTGATTGCAAATCCAGGCCTTTGGTATTTCTGACTGACCGGCCATAAATTGGGGATTCTCACAACCGCCACTTGGGTTTGATAATCTGCTAGAGTGACTCACAGACCTCAGGGAAACACACTTTACTTGTGTTTGCCAGTTTATTATAAAGGATACAGGTGAATAGCCAGATAGATGGAAAGAGACTTAGAGCCAGGCTTGACGGCTCACGCCTATAATCCTAGCACTCTGGGAGGCCCAGGCGGGTGGATTGCTCAAGGTCAGGAGTTTGAATCCAGCCTGAGCAAGAGCGAGACCCTGTCTCTACTAAAAATAGAAGGAAATTAATTGGCCAACTAAAAATATATAGAAAAAATTAGCCGGGCATGGTGGCGCATGCCTGTAGTCCCAGCTACTCGGGAAGCTGAGGCAGGAGGATTGCTTGAGCCCAGGAGATTGAGGTTGCTGTGAATTAGGCTGACGCCACAGTACTCACTCTAGCCCCGGCAACAAAGTGAGACTCTGTCTCAAAAAAATAAAATATAAAAATAAATAAATAAAGTGCTTTAAAAAAAAAAAAAACAGAGAAGCGACTTAGGACAAGGCTTGATGGTGTTTATTGTTTATCTCCACCATTAGAAATAAGTTCCATGGAGTCTGGTCGTCTTCACCCCTGGTGTGCTGCCTACCCTCCCTACATGTTGGATTGGGGGATGAATTATAGTGGAAGCCGTCTACGTCATAATACCACCGGGAGGCTCTGGGCTGAGTGTAGTTGTCACTTTCTGTTTGAAGAAGTAGCCGTGTAGACTGGAGGACCAGCGGATATGCTGGCAGTTCCTACCTTGCTTTTGCTCTGCTGTCTGTCTGTGGGTGCCATTTGTCTTAGCTCAGAAAGGAGAGGGCTCGTTGATGCTTAGTGAGGAGAGAACAGGTCATGCTACACACCTGTAGCAGCTTGCTTTTCTCTTCTTATGACATCAAATTTACCATTTTAAAGTATACAATGGTTTTAACATTTAATACACTCGAAGTCTTTTGCAACTATGGCTACTATCTAGTTCCAGAACATTTTCATCATCCCCAAAGGAAACCTCATACCCATCAAGCAATCCTTCCCCAATCCCCTCTCCCCTACAGCCCCCAGACAAGCACTAACCTACTTTCTGTCTCTATGAATTTGCTTATTACGGATATTTCATATAAATAGAATCATACACTACATGTCCTTTCTGTCTAGCTTATTTCACTTAGCGTGATGTCTTCAGCACTCATGCATGTTGTAGCAGGTGTCACTACTTCATTCCTTTTGCTGGCTGAATAGTATTCCACCGTAGCAATGGATATACTACCTTTTGTTCATGCATTTATCCATCAACAGATTTTGGTATTGTTCTCACCTTTTGGCTATTGTCAGTAGTGCTGTTATTCACATTTATGTGCACGTTTTAGTTTAAACATCTGTTTTTGGTTATTTTGAATACACACACATACACAGAGGAGTGAAATTGCTGGGGCATACGGTAATTCTTTTTAACTTACTGGCATATTACTAAACTTTCACAGCACTACACCATTTTAAACTTCCACTAACAATGCATTAGTGTTCATTTCTCCACCTGCTCACCAGTATTTATTTTCTGGGTTTCTTTTTTAAAAATTATTACTATTGTTATAACCATCTTAGTGAGTATGAAGTGGTATCTCATCGTGGCCTTGATTTGGGTTTCTCTTAATCATCTTTTCATCTGCTTATTGGCCATTGTTATATCTTTTATGGATGGCCCTTTATTTTGAGCCTGCTCCCTTTGCAGTGTGATTGTGTTTGAACACTTTTCTCTCTTTCTTGACCATAAGCTGCCTTATTTATAAAAGGAGGCTAATGCTCTCTTCAAGAAAGAGGTTGATTTTTTAGAAAGTAATACATTTTTCAAATCTTTGTTAACATAATTTTAAATTTTTCTCTCTTTTTGTTTCCTGCTGTCCTACTTCATTTTAAAATGCAGCATATAAACCTCAGGCTTGTTTTCCAAAATGACAAATTTAATTCAGTTTTAATTTTCTGAATTTTGACATCTCTAAGTCTAACCTGTCATCATTGTATACTGTGAATCTTTAGGTTTAAACATGTTTTAAAGTCAGTTTGCTTCTTATCTAATATAATACCTAGGCACATGTTTGACTTTTTACTATTTTAGAGTCATCAGGTGACTGTTGAAAGTAGTTTTCATTACACTGTTTGTTTCCCTTCCAGAAAAAGTTGCCTCTGACAACACTGGCTCAGTGTCTCATGGAGGGGTCAGCTATCCTGGGAGATGACACACTTCTTGGGTAAGTCGACACCTTGCTTGGATTCGTGCCAAATCTAGGTAAATCCCCATCTGTAAAAAGGGGATTAGAATTCCTCGGGGAGGCAGCAAGGACGCCTCATTTCTGGCTGGAGACTTGGGTAGAGAAGAGGAAAATGTTACCGGTGAGAAATCAGAACCCTTGGCTCTAAAGTTACTGTCTGTGGAGTGAGACTAGGCCCACATGGAGAGATTAACATAAAACTGGTGCAGGACAATTGAAATCCTCAGGGCTCTTGCAGAAGCAAATATGAAACCTCTCAATGTCAGGTGTTGGAACTTATGGGATTCCCAGAAGAGCAGCCCTTGCCGATTTTGAGCTCACAGTAAAACAAACTAAAAATAGCACCATGAGAGAGCATCAGCAGACAGGATGAGTAGGAGAATCATACCCTGAGGACCAATGATAATAGAATAATATGAAAAAAGTAAAATAACTATTTAAAATAAAATGTAAAAATTAACTAAAGGAAAAGAATCCTTGACAAAAGAATCCAATAGTATGAGGGAGAAAATGGGCAAAATTAAAGAAAAACCAAATAGATCTTAAAATTATGCTGATAATTTTTAAGTGTTGAGGTAAACAAGAGATTATACAAAAATAACTGGTGAACTTCATACTACCCAAAGCAATTTATACATTCAGTGCAATTCCTATGAAAATACCAATGCAATTCTTCACAGAGATAGAAAAAAATAATCTAAAAATTCTGTGGCACCACAAAAGATCTTGACTAGCCAATGTAATCCAGAGCAAAAAGAACAAAGTTGGAGGAATCACACTACTAGACCTCAAAATATACTACAAAGCTGTAGTAATGAAAATAGCATGGTACAGACATAAAAACAGACATGTATACCAATGGAACAAATTAAACAACCCAGAAATTAATGCACTTATCTACAGCAAACTGATTTTTGACAAAGTGCCAAAAACACTCATTGGGGAAAGGACTGTCTCTTCAATAAATGGTGCTGGAAAGACTGGATGTCCATATACAGAAGAATGAAACTAGATCCCTACCTCTTCCTCCATCCAAAAATCAACTCAAAGTGATCAAAGATCTAAAGTGATCAAAGATCTTCAGATATAAGGCCTGAAACAATAAGATTACTAGGACAAAACACAGGAGAAATGCTTCAGGACATTGGTCTGAGAAAAGATTTTATGAATAAGACCTCAAAAGCATAGGCAACAAAATCAAAAGTAGATAAATGAGATTATGTCAAACTAAAAAGCTTCTGCACAGCAAAGGAAAAAACAGAGTGAAAGGACAACCTACAGAATGGGGTAAAATATCTGCAAACATCTCATTCAACAGGAGATAAATATCCAGAATATACAAGTAATTCAGCATCTCAATAGTGAAAAACCAATTTGATTCAAAAATTGGCATATGATTCAAACAGATATTTCTCAAAAGAAGACATACAAATGGCCAAAAAAAATATGAAAAATGTTCAGCATTGCTAATTATCATGGAAATGCATATACAATGAGTTATCATCTCACCCCGGTTAGGATGGCTATAATCAAAAAGACAAAAAATAACAAATGCTGGCGAGGATGCGGGGAGAAGGGAGCTTGTGTACACTGTTGATGGGAATTTGAACTAGTGCAGCCAGTATGGAGAACAGTATGGAAGTTCCTAAAAAAACTACAAATAGAACTACCATATGATCCAGCAATCCCACTACTGGGAATGTATCCAAAGGAAAGGAAATCAGTATATCAAAGATACATCAGGACCCTCCTGTTTATTGCAGCACCATTCAAAATAGTCAG